CCCTGCGACTTTGCTGAATTTATGAATCATCAGTTTTAGTAGGCTTCTGGTGGAGTCTGTCGGATTTTCTATGTACAGTGTCATGCCATCTGTGAAAAGTGAAAGTTTGACTTCATCTTTGTCAATTTTGTCTTTTATTTCCTTTGGAAAATAACCAAAGGAAATAACATGGCTGATGTTAGGACTTCCAGCACTATGTTAAACAACAGTGGTGAGAGTGGGCGTCCCTGTTGTGTTCCTGCTTTCTGGGGGAAAGCTCTCAGTTTTTCTCCATAGATTAGCTTTGGGCTTCTCATAAATGGCTTTTATGAGGTTTAAGTACGTTCCTTCTATCCCATCTTTTTTGAGGGTCTTTATTAAGAAGCGATGCTATATTTTGTCAAATGCTTTTTCTGCATCTATGGACAGGATCATATGGTTTTTATCTCTTCTTTTGTTAATGTGATGTATCACATTGATTGATTTGCAAATATTGAACCAGCCCTGTAACCCGGGAATGAATCTTGATCATGGTGGATAATTCTTTTTATGTGCTGTTGAAATCGATTTGCTAGTATTTTGTTGAGGATTTTTATATCCGTATTCATCAAGGATATTGAGCTGTAGCTCTCTTTTTTTGCTGGGTGTTTGTCTGGCTTGGGAATCAAAGTGATGCTGGCTTTGTAGAATGAGTCCGAAAGTTTTCCTTTCATTTCTATTTTTTGGAATAGCTTGAGAAGAATGGGTATTAACTCTGAGTTAAATGTCTGGTAGAATTCCCCAGGGAAGCCATCTGGCCCAGGGCTCTTATTTGTTGGGATATTTTTGATAACTGATTCCATTTCTAAACTAGTTATGGGTCTGTTCAGATTTTCTATCTCTTCCCATGTGAATTTTGGTAGTGAGTGTGTGTTTAGGAATTTGTCCATTTCTTCTAAGTTGTCCAATTTGTTGGCATATAATTTTTCATAGTATTCCCTGATAATTGCTTACATTTTTGAGGGATCAGTTGTAATAAATCCATTTTCACTTGTGATTTTGTCTATTTGGGTGCTCTCTCTTTTCTTTTTGAGAAGCCTGGCTACTGGTTTATCAATTTTGTTTATTTTTTCAAAAATACAACTTTTGGTTTCATTGATCTGTTCATAGTTTTCTTGGATTCTATATTGTTTATTTCTGCCCTCATCTTTATTATTTCTCTTCTTCTGCTGAGTTTGGGCTGTTCTTGCTGCTCTGCTTTTAGTTCCTTAAGGTGCACTGTTAGATTTTATATGTTTACTTTTTCTAATTTCTTGAAATAGGCCTGGTGTGCAATGTACTATCCTTTTAGGATTGCCTTTGCTGCATCCCAAAGGGTTTGGATTGTTGTATTTTCATTTTAATTTGTTTCCATATGTTTTTTTTAATTTCTTCTCTAATTGCCTGATTGGCCCATTCATTCTTTAGTAGAGTGTTCTGTAACCTCCATGGTTTTGGAGGTTTGGAGGTTTTCCAGACTTTTTCCTGTGATTGATTTCAGTTTTCATAGCATTGTGATCTGAACGTGTACATGGTATGATCTCAATTCTTTTATATTTCTTGAGGGCTGCTTTATGTCTCAGTATGTGATCTATCTTGGAGAATGTGCCATGTGCACTTGAGAAGAAAGTGAATTCTATGGCCTCTGTTTGTAGATTTCTTAATTTTTTTTTCATATTCATCTGTTCCAATGTGTCATTTATTTCTTTTTTTTCTTTAGTGATTTTCTGTCTAGTTGATCTATCTATTGCTATAAGTGGAGTATTAAAGTCCTCTGCTGTTAGCACATTCTTATCTATAAGATTGTTTCTATTTGTGATTAATTGTTTTATGTATTTGGGTGCTTCCATATTGGGTGTGTAGACATTTATAATTGTTAGCTCTTCCTGATGGATAGACCCTG